CTGTCAAGGTTTCAATCTGTAAATGGGAGATTGATAGCTTGGAATTAGATAATTAAATATCCTAATGCAATTACCTGAATGAGATGGTTTGTTTGTGCTGATGCCTTGGTTGACTGCTGTTCATGGATTGACTGCACACATTAAGAATCAGTGTTTGTTGATAAAGCATTAGTTTCGGCCACCTGAAGTAAATACCCGTTTCTTGTCTGAATGATTTCATCTGTGATGTTTCCTTCTTTAGTTTAATGTTCTTTGTTTGCAGGCACTGGTGTTGACGTTCTGAATAAAAGTGACCCGGCAGGCACCTTGTGACATTTCCAGTAATGTTGTATCACTCGGGGGTCGAGCATGCAAAAGGTTATGACATTTTTGAGTGCGGGTCAATGTATTCTTTCCTGCAGTATGCTCAAAGCAAGTAATGAATAATATTCCGTTTTTAATTTAACCACCATACAAATATTTCTTATAATTCAATGTGTCCTATTGTTTTATTAACCGTATGTTTATAATGCACTTTAAAACAGTTTTTCTTTACTTCTTGCACTTCAACCTCCAGCTTCATGTGAAGAAAACTTCAACATTTCTCAGAGACAGGAAGTTAACTTCTACAGCCCCCAGAAAAAAAAACACACTTTCAAGTTTCATCTTTTACAGCAGCTTAACTCATTTCCAATTTCTTCCCCCGTCCATCTCTCCGCTCCTCGTCACTCATCACTCACCCTATTTCCCCAGTCCATCATCCTCTCATACTCTCCTCCCATCATCCTCTCTCTTTCCCTCTGATGTCAGAGCCCACAGGGTGCTGTAGTAACTGTCTGTCAGTCAGTTTAGTTTAGTGTTTATAGTCCGTCCAGCCCCTCTGATCCATTATAAATAGCTTTAAGTGGCACAGCACTCCCTCATTGCTGTCACTCAACACTTTGTCTATTAGCCTTCATACTCGGCCTAATTCATCCGACCTCAGAATGAAATTAAAGGTGGACATAAGACAGTTACATTATGGTTGTTGCATTATTTTATCCTGGTATTATTACAACAAAAACAAGAATTTATAATCAGAAGTCTAATATTTATTCTATGCAAGCCTGCGCTTTTTATTGAAGAGTTTTCAAGGGTGACATGTGGATTCTATAAGGTTTGATGGTCTGTGATGTATTCTTGGTAGGACCTATTGTGCTTTCTATGGGTTTTCCCTTTAGTGTAGTACATCACCACTTAACACTCGTGCCTCTATTGGTTAGTGCTCCAACACATTGTACGTGAGGTTAAGGGGCGGGACATCTCTATGCGGTTTACCAATCACAACAGAGACGGCCTGCTAACCAATCAGAGCAGACTGGGCTCTGGTTTCAGACGGAGGGTAAAAAGAGAGAAAAATAAATACCTTACGAATATTGAAGGAACTTGAACTGGAATATCCCCTTTGTAGATGCAGAGATGTTTTTTTATTTGCATTCAAGGCAATTCAATCGACTTCAATGTTTACTGTATGTTCTGGTTATTCCATCATTTCTCTTCATTGGGGTTTTACTATCAATCAATAATGCAATGTTCCAGCCCATGCTGATTTTCTAGAACAATCACCAATCTTTAAAATTGCAAATTATATTCATATCCTTGGGGGGGGACAATCTGAGCCAAATATCTCAACACGTTTCTAAATGAATACAGAGACTCTTCAGGTTTTCTTATTCTAATATTATTACAGTTCCTATTTGGTGTAATTAACCCTCCAGTTTCCAGAATTGGATTCAGAATTGCTTCTTGATGGACACTTCCCCCCCAACGGATTCACTGCTGTCTGGATTCTACTTGCCCTGATAGACCCAAGGCTATTAATATATCAGAGACTTTCAAGGGCATACAAGGATTAAACTACTTTTCATATTCAGCTATGAGGAGTAGAAATATTTAGCATGTGAAATATGCTGCGTAATCCCTTCTGCCAGCTCTAAATTCCCTTCTGTTATGTTTACTATCTTTAGTGTTTGAAAAGTAGGTTATTTGACCACTTTGCACATTGTAAATTGTACCCTTTTTTGCCTTCTTATAAACATGTTAGCTGTCATGCCATGGAAAAAAACTGAAGAGCATTTTCTTCACAAACAAAATGTAGGTTAAAACAATGGTTTCCCAAATGAAAGTTTACTTATTTCATTTCAGTGGACATATTAGGTATCCTGCAGTTCTTATTCTCATGTTATAAAAAAATAAGATTTAACTCCTGGTAAATGTGCTGAAATTGAAAAGATAATAGCCTGAGAAAGTTCATTTCCCAGCAAGGAGCATTGTAACAGTAAACCATTTCAATTTCAGAGATTTCGGGGGGAGAGCATCAAGTAGACAGACCCCGATTCACAGAGGAATCCCAGCTTTTACACCGAATGAAGTGCCTGACAGCTCCAGGGGGTCACTTTGACCTCTGACCCCTCTGAATGATGGCGAAGAAAAGAAAGCTGGTTGTAAAGAGGTATAATTACATCAAATATCATTACTGAATGGGTCATATAAGTAATACCTGTCACACTGCTTAACACGCCGCTAGTCACAAGTTGTCTAGACGTCCTCATGCTCCCCCCGACACGCACCCATTTCAAATCCTGTTAACGCCGACAGCCTGCGCCACAATAACCTACATTCACACAGTAATCACACTGACTGACTGAGTGTCGAAGCAAGGATTGAAAAACGGCAGCAAACTGTGGTGACAGAGAATGAGGCTGGAGGGAGGCTGCAGACACCCAAAGAGGGAAGGGAGGGAGAGCACTTTCTCTTTTGTGCATTCAAATCCTATTTGGAAAAGGAGGATATGCATTTTGGAGAACCATATTGCTGTGGCTGTGCTCCAAGCCTCCACCAGGCAGGAGTCCAAGCACACGAACATGAACCAAACTGTTTTACCACTGTATTGTTAAAACTATCATTCACAACATTTAGTCCTCCATTTATTTTGACTAGAAAGTGTTGTTTATATCTCAACTTGGTTGTCCTTGACAACACAATATGTTTTCCATGTTTCTGTTCCAGCAGCAATATGGCACAAGGACATTTAAAGTTTACAGCAACTAACATTTAAATAACCGGTAATATGAATAATGTACTATTATAATAACAATAATATAAGTGAGGACAATGCAACATTGTTATTTATATTTATTTTATGCAAAATACCATTGTCAAAGACAATATGGCTGAGTAAAAACTATTGTAAAACGATACACAACCTAGATCAATAATCTCTTCACATGACCTCACACCTGCGTGACTGAAATTGAAGCCTGTTCCTAATTATTGTGGGATTTGTATTATTTGGGCAATACCTTAGAAATGTGAATTGAGAGTTAAAAAACACAGAACATAAGAGAGAAACACAATACCTCAGGGAAAGCAAGAATAAAGAGGGATATCAGGATTCATGCCCATGCTTGGCCATGCAGGGCTGAGGCTCAGTTTAACTGACCCTTAGATTCGCTTCCCCAACTGACACGCCTTGTGTATCTCCTCCCAATAAATCATATTCAATTCCATCCGTGTCATTGGAAAAACTATACACCACTCATCCGGCATTAGGCTTTGGTATTGAATGGGAAGATTGTGGGTGAATGTTGCAGGAAATGTGCCCACATATTGGCATAATGTGATTTCTTTTTTTTCCAACAAGTATCAGGAAATGGATCTGCCCATTTAGCCATGAGCAAATTAGTATTAAATTGGAATGATTGCTGGATTGTGCTCATGTGACTTTACCACTGATATAAATCACATTAAAAAAATAAATGTGGCTTCCAGTAGATATATGAATCCCTGGACTGTTATATCCTATAAAACAAAACATATTATCCTTCAACAGAAAGCTTTGTGTGTGTGTGTGTGTGTGTGTGTGTGTGTGTGTGTGTGTGTGTGTGTGTGTGTGTGTGTGTGTGTGTGTGTGTGTGTGTGTGTGTGTGTGCGTGCGTGTGTGTGTGTGTGTGTGTGAAAATTACTCATCGGTGTTCATACTGGAGATGACGTCACTTATAACCTGACTTCAGAGTTTACATCACTGGACCGGAATACACTGTGCAGTTAAAATGAGGATGATATCATTTAACATGAACATCTGCCCTTATTGATCGTGACATGCCCAAACCAAAGCTTTTTTAATAAAATCGAGTAAAATAGACACATGCTTTATCAAGATAAACGATGTTATTTTTGACATTTTGGTAAACTTGCATTATTGGTCTGCTATTCCCAAACCTTGTGGCATTTGTTTGTGTTTGGAAACATCACATTCTAATTTTTTGGACCCATGTGTGAATGTGAATCATTGAGGGGTTTGTCGGTATAACCCCTGTAAAGGGTGTCACACCTTCAGGGCTGTATTTTGAAGACGGTTATTCTTCAGATGATGACGGTGTAGTTGTGTAAGATACAGGTTATCCCCCCGTCCTATTCCAGTTGTGGATATGGCTGCCGCCCCGGGTGCTGTGTAACAGCGCACCGGAGCCAACCATTAGGAGAGAGAGAGAGAGTTGCAAGCAATAGGGGGAGGGGCGGAAAAGGGAGAGAGGAGGAGAGTCTGATTGTGTGTGTATGGATGGATGGATAGTAGCCTACCACCGGGCTGTGCCGAAACTGCTAGAGCGCGCACACACATTCGTACACACACTCAGGAGGGGAGTGTGTGTGTGTGAGCTAGTCAGTCATTCAGTGTGAGAGTGTGTAAGCCATGTTGGATGTGAATGAACGGGAGGAGAGATGCTGCTGCCGCGCCGCTCCTAACGCTCAGACCTCCAGCTCCACGGACCACAGCGTGTAGATGCCAACTCTCCAGGCCGACGGAGAGACGGGGGAGCCTGGGGGAAGGTGTCGGGCGGTGCCGGCGGTCCTGAAGGGAACGAGGGAGAGAGAGAAGTAACGGGGAGAAGGGAAGTCGCACTCGAGGGAGGACGAGAGAGAGAATAGGCAGAGGTGGAAGAGGGAGAAAGGACGGAGAGACAGAGAAAGGAAGAGACTAAATGGCTGCACTGCTACCGGGCTTCACCCCGCTCCTGCTCTCGTCTCTGGCACTCCACCTGCTTCTCCTCGGCCCTTTGTTTGCCCTCACCCCGGAGACGGTGAGCACAGGAGGGGCTTCCAACCGGTGGACCCCGGGCCTCTCTCACCGAGACGCCGGTAAAGTGAGCCGGCAGCAACAGAAGCAGCAGCGCGAGGAAGCAGGGGAGTCGCTGAGGGGCAGCTGGAATCTACGCCCCAGCAGGTGGACTGTAGAGCGGATACATACTGAGGGATGCTGTAGAGTGGGGACGCTGGGAGGATATACCCAGGATGGGGCGAGGGGGACACGGAAGGAGGGACTGAAAGGAGTCGGGACGTTTTCATCACCTCCTCCTCCTCTCCCCCCAGGTATTAGGAACAGGTCGAGCTCTGATGGCGTCGGCGCAGGAGAGGGAGTGGAGAGAGGGAGGATGAGGAGGAAGGGCGTTGTTTCTTCTCCAGCTTCACCTGCTTTCACCTCCTCGCCGGTTCAAAACGGCAAAAAACGGGCAGTACAAAGGACTAGAGCGTGCGCGCAACGGTGGCCGGCGTCAAGGCCACACCTCGCCAAACGTGGTGCCGCCGGAGCCTTTGTGCACGCCTCTGGCCTGTACGGGGCACCCGGAAGTGTAAAGAGGAGAGGGGGAGAGGTGTGGGAGAGGGCTCGTGAGGTGAGGATAGTCTTTGCCACATGCTGCTCCCTGACACCTGGGCATCTCTGCTGGTCAAGCCCTGGCAAAAAAGCCCTCTCCCCGGCAAACATCCCCACACTTGGCCACTTGCCAACCGGTTGCTCTTGTTGCATTCATCCTCTTTCTGGATACAATTCAGCACACAGCGAGGCTTCAAAAAACACCTATAAAATTCATCCCCGTTTCACCATCAATTCAGACTGTATCCAGGGATCCACATTGGAATACATGTGTCATTTTACAACCGGCCACACAGATCCAATGCATCCAGTTTACAGGAGGAGCAAACAAAACACAGCTCGGGATGCTTATTGGGGCTCTGCCAGCGTGGACAGGAGGGCTGGTAATTGTTCTCATTTTGGAAGGCACAATGTTATCGATCCCAGCAGCAGCACAGAGGGGGGCGATGATAGCCGTTTGACTAGGTGCCTTACGTGCAGGGAGAAAGACAGGGGGACGATGAGTGGGGGAGATGAGGAGGAGGGGGAGGAAACGTACAGATGTTGCGCACCGGTAGTGATTAACCCCAGTACCTTGGTGTACCTCGATAGTTGTGGGTCCCCTATTCATGAGGCAAAGGTAGCTTGTTACCACGCCAGAAACATAGATAAGAAGAGGGAGGGAAAATATGGACGAGAGGGAGGGGTACAACTAGGCTACAAATATATTAATTTATCTAATTATCCGGATAATGATTTGGCTTTTCCGTTTCTGACGCGCCTATGTAAGACTGGTAATGAGCTTCCGCAGGGGAAATCAGCAACGGCAACCAGAGGGCAGATCAGGCAAACACGGGGAGAGATCGGGGAGGTTCCCGGTGGTTGCTTCGGTTGTTTGGACAGAAAAGAAATGGGGGGTGGATATTTAGCCGGGTTTATGGTCCCACAGGGAGTCGTAGCTCAGAGGAATCTCCCCATCCAATGTTCCCCCACAGAGACGCAGGATCAACGTTTTCCATCCAATAAGAGCGGTATTGCTGATATTGTATCAACATATGCTGGCCCGATAATGAATATCCTCCCTGAAACACAAACAGGCGATTATGCAGAAAGTGTCAAACTATCCAAACGGCTATCTGCAGAAAAAGTAAATGCAAGTTCAGAGACAGAGTCTGCCGGTGACTCAGGCTTTTTCTCACCTGCGAAGTTTCCCGTTATATCTCCCACGTCTCGCTTTGCAGCAGCAGTCACACCACGTATTCTCGCTCAGCCCGATGACACCACAGCAGAACACCTCTCGTTTTTCTCGAAAATGAACCTGACCACACGGCAGGATGACTCCACACGTTTGATATACCTACCCTCTCTAAAGGACGTGATTTCAGCACCACGGACAGTTTCCCCAGACTCCCAGCCTGTGTTTTTATGGAGCACATTCAACAGCAACATTAATAACAACAACGAAGATGAGCAAAGCAAGGACATAAATGGATTGAATCATGAATCTGAAATAGAACAATCTCAGTGGCATGATCAGACACAGCAACAAGACCTGTGGGAGACAGCATTACTAGAGATGGTCAATGCAGGCTGTGCTGACAGCATTTCCACCGACTGTTCAGCCACCAAGCAAAGGGAGCATGCACATATGCAATTAAAATCCGGTAAGCAAGTGTCATTAGAGCCTCAAGGTGTGAGACAGTCAGATAGGCGGCAGATGGGTGCCGAAGCAGAGAGGGAGAGACATGCAGAGAGGGAGGGAGAGGGTTTTGAGGGGTCTGCTGCTGTTGCTGTTGGGGAAGGAAAATTACAGGTGGGGGAGGGCAAGAGAGAGGCGCGGCTAATGGGAGGCAGAGAACCAGGGGGAAATGAGCAAGAGAAGGAGGAGTGGGAGAGGGAAAAAGCAATAACAAAGGCAAGCCGGGCAGAAGAGAGAGAGGCTGAGAGGGAGAAGGGTCAGGATAGGGGCAGTAGCACCACCACCATCACACAGCCAGAGAGCAAAAAGGGGAAGAACGAGAGACAGGCAGATGAGAGCCACGAGGTTGGAGAGTGGGGTGAAAGGGGGGTAGAAGGGAAGGAGGAGAGGCGCAGTACAAGGGGAGAGAGGAGCCTGGAACGACTGATAATATTAGCAGATGATGATATCTCACAGGGGGAAAAGGGGAGGAAGATGTTGATGCCCTGGCCCCGCTCTCGGCGTGCAGCAAACAAACATCCCCATTTCTCCCAGTATAACTTCCAAGTGCAAGTAGCTGAAAATCAACCAGCCGGTACTTCAGTCATTATCATGTCCGCCTCAGACCCAGATGCGGGAGATTCAGGCAGGGTCAGCTACTCCATGGCCCCGCTGATGAACAGTCGATCATCTGACTACTTCCACATCCACCCAGACACAGGGCTCATCACCACCACTCAGATTCTAGACAGAGAACACATGGACTTGCATTACTTCCGAGTCACAGGGACGGATAACAGCGCCTCTCGGCTCTCCGGCACCACAATGGTGGCCATTACAGTTTCAGACCGCAATGATCACTCTCCTATTTTTGAGCAAACAGAATACAGGGAGACGATCAGGGAGAACGTAGAGGAGGGGTATCCCATTTTACAGCTGAGAGCGACAGACTTAGACTCCCCATCCAATGCCAATATCCGGTATCGCTTTATCGGTGATAAGGTTACAATAGCCCGGTCGGCGTTTGAGATTGACCCCCGCTCTGGCCTCATTACAACCCGCGGAGCAGTGGACCGGGAAACCAACGAGCACTACACTCTACTGGTGGAGGCCACTGACCAGGGGAAGGAACCGGGGCCACGCTCTTCTACTGTTAAAGTGTTTATCACTGTTCTGGATGAAAATGACAATGTGCCACAATTCAGCGAAAAGCGCTATGTGGTAGCAGTGAAAGAGGATGTTCGGGCCCACACTGAGATCCTCCGTGTGAGCGCCACTGACATTGACAAGGACAGTAACGCTGCTGTTCACTACAATATCATCAGTGGCAACAGCCGTGGACAGTTTTCCATCGACAGTGTAACTGGGGAGATCCATGTTGTAGCACCACTGGACTATGAGTCAGAACGGGAGTATACTCTCCGTGTTCGTGCCCAGGACAATGGCCGACCACCTCTCTCCAACAACACCGGTATTGTCAGTGTTCAGGTGACGGATGTAAACGACAACCCACCAATCTTTGTCTCCACACCTTTCCAGGCTTCTGTGCTGGAGAGCGCCCCAGTTGGTAGCTCCATCCTCCACATTCAGGCCATTGACACTGATTCTGCTGATAATGCCCGTCTGGAGTACAGGTTAACTGGCACCAGCTCTGACACACCCTTCGTTATTAATTCGGCAACAGGCTGGGTCACTGTGCGCACCATTCTTGACCGAGAGTCTGTGGAGCACTATTTCTTTGGTGTGGAGGCCAGGGATTATGGCATGCCTCCTCTATCTGCTACAGCAAGTGTAACAATAACAGTGATGGATGTTAATGACAACCGGCCCGAGTTCATCCAAAAGGAGTACTATTCTCGCCTGAATGAGGATGCGTCTGTTGGTACCAGTGTAGCGACTGTGACGGCTGTGGACCGTGATGTCAACAGTGCTGTAACCTATCAGATAACAGGGGGAAACACCAGAAACCGCTTTGCCATCAGCACAGCAGGCGGGTCTGGACTTCTTTCTTTAGCTCTCCCATTGGACTACAAACAGGAGCGCCGTTACGTTCTAACCGTCGCTGCCTCAGACCGCACACTCCACGACACCTGTCAGGTGCACATTAACATCACTGACGCCAACACACATCGGCCTGTTTTCCAGAGTGCCCACTACTCTGTTAGTGTGAACGAGGACCGACCACCTGGAAGCACCGTAGTTGTAATCAGTGCCACAGATGATGATGTAGGCGAAAACGCTCGAATCACATACTTTCTCGAGGACAATATCCCACAATTCCGCATTGACACCGGCACAGGAGCGATAACGCTCCAGGCAGAGCTCGACTATGAGGACCAGATGACCTACACTCTGGCTATCACAGCTAAAGACAACGGTATCCCGCAGAAAGCAGACACAACATATGTGGAGGTGAACGTGAATGATGTGAATGACAATGCACCTCAGTTCCTCAGCACAAGATACCAGGGAACAGTGAGTGAAGACGCCCCTCCCTTCACCAGTGTCCTCCAAATCTCAGCCACTGACCGTGACGCGCACACCAATGGTCGTGTTCAGTACACCTTTCAAAATGGCGAGGATGGGGATGGGGACTTTACCATCGAACCTACATCCGGTGTAGTCCGATCTGTTCGACGTTTGGACCGTGAGAGCGTGCCATTCTACGAGCTCACAGCCTATGCCGTTGATCGTGGCATACCCCCTCAGCGAACCCCCGTCCACATCCAGGTGACGGTCCTAGATGTCAACGACAATGCCCCCGTCTTCCCAGCTGATGACTTTGAGGTTCTAGTGAAGGAAAACAGCGCAGTGGGGTCTGTGGTAGCCCAGATCACAGCCACTGACCCCGACGAAGGCACTCACGCTCAGATCATGTATCAAATTGTGGAGGGAAACATCCCCGAGATCTTTCAGATGGACATCTTTTCAGGGGAGCTCACTTCACTCATTGATCTTGACTATGAGGCCCGCAACGAGTATGTCATCGTAGTCCAGGCAACCTCGGCTCCTCTAGTCAGCAGGGCTACCGTCAGGATCCGATTAGTGGACCAGAACGACAACAGGCCCACTCTGCAGGACTTCCAAATCATTTTCAACAACTTCGTGTCCAACCGCTCCAACAGTTTCCCCAGCGGGGTAATTGGAAAAGTGCCCGCCCACGACCCTGATGTGTCAGACAGGCTGCACTACACCATCGACCGAGGGAACGAGCTTCACCTGCTGCTCCTGAATCACACCAGTGGAGAGATCCGACTGAGCCGAAAACTGGATAACAACAGGCCGCTGGTGGCTCCCATGCTGATCACTGTCACAGGTAAGAGACCGTGGAGGGGAAATGGGAGGGAGAGTTTTTCTGACTAGTCAGTTTAGATTCCCCTGTAGCTTATTTCACCATGACAAATCCTGTGAAGATAAAGACTCAGACTCTACAGGTTAGAGCAAGAAAAAAGGGTTGGTGGAGCTCTGGGCATTGCAAACACATTTTTCTTCTGTGTATTTCCTTCACTTGTGTATGTGAGATAATGAGAAATTAACTGGGCTTCTTTAAACACATTTACCTGATGTGTGTAGGAGGTGCAACCATTAGACAACTAGATTATCGGCCTGCTTCTAAGACATCTGCTATATGTATCTGAGTCCCTTAAGGAGAAGGCGCTTGGGGAAATGTGTGTGCATGGGAACACATTAGATTTACCAGAGAGCATGGGGGGTGAACATTTAGAGAGTGGTGCTTGTCTGTTTTGCAGATTTTCAAAGTGTAGATGAGGTGAGAGGTTAAGGAATAAAGGATCACGAGAAAAGAAAGTGTGTTTGAGGAAACACATCAGAAGGAGAGAGATAAATATTTGAATGTGAGATACCCGACAATAATTATTTAGTCAGATTCTCATATCAAAAGTTCCCACCAGTCAGCATTTTGACAGTTTAGGAGATAAGCTATTGGGAGATATAAAGCACGCTTCTTTTTTTCTAACTATACAGTAACTCATATTCCCTGGGGCAAAAGAGCTTTGTAGCTGTGAGCAGCTATCAGTATCACAGTACCACCTACACTTTTTGATTGACAGGTGATCTCGACTGAGTGCATTCCAAGTTGCCATAGCAATTTTGTGAATCTAAAGAAAATGTATTTGATAGGGAAACAAGAAAGCTGAGGGTTTCGCCTGGCAGAGACACTTACTGTCACTTGCTGTTAGATATCCAATGAAATGGCATCAATACTTCCTAATGTTATTTATTTCCTGAATGTCTCTATTCAGTGTTTACCCTGTGGGCTATTAGCAAAGATAGACACACTTTGATTTTCCAGGCAAATAGCCACTTAACTTTACTGACATACTTGTTCACTATCCATTATGTTGATCATGTCCTGCACTGAGGAATAATATTAAAAGTATCTCTTGGTCCTAAATTGAATTTATTTTGAATTGAAGCATTCTAATTTGTTTTTAGGTGTATTTTGCTGTTTATTTGTTTGCATTTCCAGGCTTTGGCTTCAAGATAAAGGCTTCCTAAAAGCCAGGCTGCCTTGCTGTCAGTGATCAAAGCCTTAGAAAGCAAAAAGGGAAAGAAGCGAGAGCAGCGTTTTGTTTTGTGTTGTGTTTGTATTCTGGCTTGGGAGTGTGTGACCTGCTACCCTATTTACACTGCTTTATACCAGCCTCACTGGTGACGATGCTCGCTTATACATATTTAGTTTGGTGTCAGTTTGATGTCATTTTTGAGTTCATGAGGGAAGTGAATTCTGACTGAAATAGTTCATGGACAAATGAGGAAGTGAGTTTACTGTAAGTCTCAGTAAGGGAGAGAGAAATATAATATGAGAGTGAAGACCTGATCAAATGACTGATATTGCAAGATAGTGTGTCAGTAAATGACTGAGTTTTAACACACTGAAGTGATGTTATTAGTACACAAGTTTTCAAATAAAAGAGTAAACAATTTGGGGCATATAAAGAAGGTTGAACAAGTACAGTATGTGAGTGGGCAAATAATTAAAGAAGTGAGTTAGTGAATAAAAGAGAGACATAATTATGTAAATAGGTGAAGTAGAAATTGAGAGTGAATGAATAAGCAATTAGTGAGTTAGGTTAAAGAGGCCCTATAATGCTTTTTGGGGATTTCCCATCTCTAAGCAGTTCAGCAATCACAACAGAGCCTTCCAGCTAACCAATCAGAGCAGACTGGGCTCTGGTTCCAGACAGAGGGTGAAAAGAGGTGTTGCAGCACAGGCAGTTTGAGAAAAATAAAGAGCTTTCTGAACATTAAAGGATGGAGACATGTCACAGTCTGTCTGTCTGTCTGTCTGTCTGTCTGTCTGTCTGTCTGTCTGTCTGTCTGTCTGTGTGTGTCTGTGTGTGTGTGTGTGTGTGTGTGTGTGTGTGTGTGTGTGTGTGTGTGTGTGTGTGTGTGTGTGTGTGTGTGTGTGTGTGTGCCTGTATATAATGTATGTATGTGCCAGCCCTGTGTCTCCATCTGCTTTCTTCCAGTGTGCATTCAGTTCAGTTCAAGCAGACGTGCAGATTCATTTCCAATTGTCTTGCTGCTCTTCTCTCATTTTGAAAGTATTTGACTCTCTCTCTCTCTCTCTCTCTCTCTCTCTCTCTCTCTCTCTCTCTCTCTCTCTCTCTCTCTCCTCTGTCGCTCCAGGATTTGACAGTTATGAGATTATAATGAAACAACAGTCAGCCAGAGTCATGCTCCGAGCCAAGCTGTCACTTTCATTGTTCACTGTGTGTTATCTGTGACTACCCTTCCCTCCTCTCCCCATCACTTCCTTCCTCTCCTTTATTCTACCCGTCCTCGAACGCACAGAGGGATGGATGAATTCTTCTCCTTTTGAGTCCTTGCATTTCTCTCTCTTCTTTTTCGTCATGCTTCCTCCCATTTTTCCCTTCTGCCTTTTACTCCTGGAGTTTGTTTCTAATTTTCTCTTCTTTTTAAATCTATCTCTTGAGTGTTGACGTCTTGGCCTTGTGTAGTATTTCTTTCCTCGCCTGCTACAACTCTTTCCTCCTTTTCTCTCTCCCTCCCTTTCCCTCTTCCCTTCTTCTGTGTTCAGTAATCCATCCTTCTGTCCTCCGACTCTTCCCTGTAATCCTCACACAACTCTCTTGGGCCGTGTCTCTTCCATGCCATATTCTTTTCAACTCTGCTCCTCCTTCCTCCACTCCACTTCTCTGCCTTCTTCCCTCCTTATTTGCTCTCCTTGTATATGTAAGTCTCCTCAAGTGTTGTGTATCAGTGTGTGTTTCCGACACATTTTTATGCATGTGAATGAACAGAGATACCTCGGTGTGTACGTGCTTGTGAAGGATTTCTGTTCGCACATAGTAGTTCTGGGCACAAGTGTGTTTGTGTACGAGTGTGTGTACTCTCAGGTGGCTCAAAGCATGGCACTTGAGAGTGTATTCATGCCTTTTCAATGAATAATATCTATGCATGCCAGAGAGTGGTGGGGCAACACTGCTGCATGACATGCTTTCTTATTTCCTCATCTTTCACACTTTTCTCCCATTTCCCTCCCTCTCTCCTCCATCCCCCCCCCCCTCTCTCCTTTTGACAGTTAGCTCCAGTCTATTGATTCTCAGGATAATGCCCATATTTATGGTGCACAGAGATTAAATGCTGCATCCATGCTTGTGTTGCTAGCAGTTTAAGCACACACACATTTACATGTACACACTGGCTTTGGGGTTATTTGTTGGAGGCATTACAAAAAAAAAAGCTCATTCTGGCTTGGCCCCCCGAACAGCTTCAGCTCAAGGTGCCTTTGAGCAAAGCAACCCCCAATTGCTCCATGTGGCCAGCAGAAAAGACTGCCACTGCTCTGGCCAAGTCCCAGTTGTGAGTGTGTGTAGCAGTTTGTGCCACACTAGACTTCCCTGGGTAGATGAAGGTCAAAACAAAGCCTCTCTATGTCACATGCTGGCTCACTGTCACACTGAGACACGTTTTTAATATTATTACTAACACCTGTGGGTTTTTCTACCAGGCTAAATACCTGATGGGAAAAACGCCTTTTGGCAGTGAATACCTTTATTTAGGAAAAATGTATTTTGTGTCAAGACATTTGTCTCAATATTCTGTCTCAATATATTTGTTTTTCACTCTTTTAGAAGTTTCTTAATGACCGTTGCCAACACTGCGACACATTTAAGCCATATCAGGTTTCATGCTAATTCCCTTCATCATGGAACTTTGCTCATTTGTGTTGCTCTGAAAAATGTGCTGAATGCCAAGCCCGTTCATAGTGACGAATGCTCCTAATTGGTCGTTATTCTGATGTGTGGCACCTGGTTAGCTGTGTTTCTGATGATGAGTAGGTTCATAATCAGTCAAATATTTATGAAAACTGAAATGTTGGCTTTATGGGAGAATACAAATACCATAACAAGCTGAAAAACACACCACAGACAGTTGCCTATTCACTAATCTTGTTTAAAGGGAGCAACATTAGTATTCATTGTTGTGTCCACATGATGGATGTTGATCCATTTCTTCCCTTTTAGCTCTGGTTTGGTATAGGCTTACTAGTTATAAGTTACTGTATTGCTGGGCAGGTAGTTCATAGTGGGTTTGTCAGATTTATTTTATTTAACAACGGCTGTTTAATGTGCTGGAAAAGAGGTTGGTGAGAGTACTGTGTGACTGAACCAAACAGAGAATGTTCTGGGCAATGAAACGACACACAAAAGAGGCAACAAATTCATAGAGCTAGAGGTTTTATTCGAAGTGTAGTTTGTTATTTGTACATTTGACACATGCAGGCACTTGTGCTGAACTGGTCCTTTATGCTTGTGTCAGTGAATGAAAGAGTGAGCATTCTTCAAATTAGTTAACGCATCTAAACCCAAATATCGCATTCATGACATGCACCAGTTTATTCCTCCATACTGGTGATATGTTTAATGTCTTCTGTTAATGCTGGAGATTCTGGGAGTTTATATGGTATTGAAAATGAGGACACATCATATATTCATTTAAACACTGGCTTACTATATGCTATAATTGTTAGTATATGTTAACTGTGACTCAGGTCAGTGCATCATGAATACACTTACAGTAGATATAGGTCATTGCACTGATGATAACTTGAACCTAACCCATGCATTATGGGCCTATACTGTACGTATGTGTAACGCAGCTAATGCATTTACATGGGGGTCAGTTGAAAGAGGGCAACACCCGAGAGAATAAAGCTCTGAATTATCCTCCTTTTATATAATAATCTGTTTTTATACTCAGCATTACAAGCATAATGGTACAATGAGGCGAGAGTACAGTATGTATTATTTCTTATTTTATTGCCAT